CCCTTTCAAGTTTTTGTCATCTCTGCTATTGCTCAGAATAATTGCTGTATTTTCCCAAATAAATGGTATCATCCTACTGCTGTTTTCACTGGGGAGGTACAGCTGGTGTTTTCTCCTCTAAAGGGCCTGACCTTTTTTCCAGGCTGTACTAAAGCTGTGATATGTGACCAGCAGAGGGAAAGGTAGAGGCCATTATATGTATGGTGGCCACAATTCAGTTCTGGATTTTGTGGAAAGGTACTATGGATTGCCTGCCCTTTCATGGTTTGCAAATGGTCTGTGCTTAGGGAGTGCTGTAAAAAACCCTCGTGCCTCAAATCAGGCATGTCTGAATGTGGGATGTTTGAGAACAGATTATTTTCAGCCTCATCTATTTTCTGATTTTGACAAGACTATCCCTGATAAGCCTATGGAGTCAGGAAAGCTTCAGTGATTCCCAGCTCCAGCAGAGAATCTGTCCTGCTATTATCAATAAGATGTTTTACCAGAGGCTTTGGTGAATGCAAGATTGGGCCTTTAATTATTATCCAAAACTCATTCCCCAGTCCTGGATCGCTGGCTGTGCCCAGCTTTCACTAGTCCATGTAATGCAGAGAGCCACAAAATACATCTCCTCTTCCAGGAATCTGCAGAGTCAGCCGTGGGCTGCTGGGACCCTCAGGAGCCCTTTCTTGTTGAAGAGCAGTTTCAGCTTCCCTGGGCATTCTCTGTCCCCTTCAAGGTATCCTGACTCCTGTAACTCCCTCTTTCTGTACAGGTTAAAATATTTTTAATGGGCTTCTGCAGACTCATCCTCAGTGTCAGCTTTTGGGCCAGCAAGTGTAGGTGGTAGATGTGAGCAAAAACCACATAATTCCTGTCACTGCTGTTCCAAGGCATCTTGTGCAGTGAGTAAATGCTGAGTGCCCAGGTAGGCACTATTTCGTGTTCTGCATGGGGAGGCAAAGGGCAATGTTTCCTTCTACCAAGGGAAACTCTTTTTGGCCAGGATTCTCTCCTGTGATACATGGATCAGTAGCCCCAAGGTTGGGACTTGCTGACAGCCAGGAGCTGCTGCAATCATAAATAATAATAATAATATTTTACAGAAGGCTTCAAGCATGTGCACTGCATCCCTCTGCAAACTGATTTTGTAGTGACTTGGTTTCATATCAGTTTAACAAAATGCTGAATGTGCATAGTTCCTCTTCATTTTATCTTAAAATAGGACATCTAAATAAGGAGCTCTGTAGGCCTTTCCCAGTCTCTCCTGGCTGTCAGCTTTCACTGAGCTTCCCCACACCTCCCACTGCATTTTTCTCCAGGGTAGGAAGAGACTCTGCAATGTAAGTGGGATTATTCATGGGTGACAAATGTAGCCTGGTGTGACTGTGGGAGAGAGAAAAGCAGATACAAACTGCAGAAAATCTGAGAAATGGAAGTGGGGTTTAGAGAGGGGATTACGTGCCATTATGACTTAGATAGCAGAGGGCTGATCCTGTGTTGTGTTAAAATGCAGCCTGGTTTTACCTCTTCCATAAACTGCTGTTTCCAAACACACTGGGGAAGCTGGTGCTGTCTGTGCCACAGGGGCATTTTGTTCTTTCTCTGTGAAAGCAAATCCAGGCTTGGTTTCAACCCTGTTGAGGTTCCTCTTGCAGAACTACAGGTCAGGGCTGATCTCTGTGGTGTCACCAGAGCCACTGACACACCCACCAGCATACCCAGAACACTGGTTCCAGTGGCACTGCCCTCAGGACACTGCCTTCCAGCAGTGTCAGAATATCCTTAAAAACCCCCTACATCCCCATGTAAATGGAGAACCTCATAGCAGGCTCTCCAAAGATGACTTCTTACTTGAAAAGAATTTCTAAATAAACTCCAAGCCTCGTTTTTATAAGGGAGGATGGTATTTGCAGAAAAGGTCAAGGCTGTAACAGTCGGTATCCTCGGAGATAGGAATTCTGAACCCCTGCAGCTTCCCATAATTTGGCACATCTTTCAACTCTCAAGTCCCCATTTCACATCCCCAGTCGAGAAAGACATGAGGTTTTGATTTCAAAATGCAAAGCTCCACTGGCTGGGATGCTTTTCCATAAAGAAAATGTACGGGAACAACAATTTTTAGGATTTCACTGATTATATGGCTATGCTTAGCCCCAGCCCTGTGCCAGGACCTCTTAGTGCTGGGGCTGCAGGAACAGACCTGGGAAGGACCTTGCAAGGCATCAGTGGAACTTCTGCCTCTGGGGAGGTCCAGCTCCAGCCCTTGCATCCCCTCTCCTTGATTCAATTTTGGCTGGTCACAGGACAGGGGAGCAGGATGGGTCAGGCTGCCTGGCATTGCTCAAGGCTGGAGATCTGCTGTACTTGTCACTGGGGGAGCAGGCAGCAATCTCTGACTTTAGCAGGTGTGAGAGAAGCCTTTCCTGCGAGAGTCTGCGAGGAGAGCATGGAAACACGAACATAACTAGCAGTGAAAACTGAGTGGGATTTGTGTTTCTGGTGAGATGTCAGGAAATAGCTTTAAAAATGCAGTGCTGAGAGGCTTCCCAGCAAGCTTTACCTATTCCCTCACCTGGGAAGATCGCTGCGATGAATTCCTCAGGCGTGACGCAGCAAAGAGCTGCTCCGGAGCTGCCTCGGCTCTCCTGGCAATTCCAGGCGTGGGCTCAGGGAGGAGAGTGAAGGGCAGTACCTGGGAACCTGGGAAGACCAGGCAGAAGCGCTGGCAGTAGCTCTGACTCAGCTCACCGTGTGGGCTGACATATGTATTTGCCATATACATTTGTAAATGTTTTGGTATGCCTGAGCAAGCCAATATCTGGAATTAATTTTGTTCTTTTGGGAGGCAAGACAGGGAGCCCGTAAAGAGAATAAATCCAAGTGGACCACATGTATGAATCTTGCTGGGGCTTGTTCAGTTGGCTGAGACCTGTGTGTTGATGTGCATTTGCAGTTTGAATTGCCTGGATTTGATTTTCCTTACCTCACTTATGGAGTGACTCGGACCAAATTGAAGTAAGATCATTCCAGTCTTGAAGCAGACTTGTCATCATCATCATCATCACCATCATGGCTAGGCTTCCTGAACGAAGATTTGGGAAGGACTCTACCCACATTTGCTACAAGCGCACTGGTGGCTAAAGAGGCCAATGCAAGATAGACAAGTCCGGTTGCAGAAGCAGACTTGTATGCTGGTATTAAACATACATTAGTGGGTTGTGCAATGCAGAATCCCTGCTCTGCAGTCTGTTTTAGTGTTTCTTTTTCTCTCAATGCCTCTGTACTTTTTAATGTCAACACGCTGATACTGGCTGTGCTATTTCGTGAGACATGATGTCCTAAGGGGAGGTGAGGATCATTTCTCTGTCACTAACGTTTGCCACTTTTGGGAGCAGAATGCAGTCTCACCATGTTACACATTAGAAGATGCAAAATTCCTTTTTAAGGCTGAAATTGCAAGGAGGATGGTAGAGGCAGAATGCAGCTACCTCAGCTGTATCGGAGCTCCTGCAAAAAAAATGCAATGGGCCAACAAGGGGTCCAGCACCAGCACAAGCTATTCCTTGGCTGTAGCCTGACTGCAGGATGGTCTGGGATCATATCCCATCAAACTCTCTCACAGTTCTGCTGGCAAAATGCATTTTCTCGTTGGTGTTTGACGACAGTCCATGACAGGATTATAAAGAGCTGCTGCACTTACAGGCAAAGAAATGCTACAGGTCCTAGATTGCTGCAAATCACATTTATGCTTGTGAAGCCCATCTCATCCGAAGGCTTCAACTGGATTAGTTATTTTTAAACCCCACAGAAGGAGTGTTAAAAATGTGCTTTTTCATGCAAGCAGCCTTAAAAAAAACACCCCGTGCTTTATGTTCTGAGGTGCTTTCTCATAATTTCCCCATCCCTTTGCTGCCTACACCCCAACACTGTATGAAAATTACTTTGGAGACAACACAAAGGGCTGTTTCTGCAGTTTGCTTTTTGTAAACCTTAGGATTTTGCTTTTCTCCTTTGCTGAAACTCCAGTAACCATTTAAGATTTTGATACCTGATTTGAGAGATCCTGCATGTGCCTGTTACATCCCCGTATGGAGCCACTGGCTGGTACTTATTGATATATTATTAATAGCTGACGGTGGAGAGCCAAACGAATGTCCTCTGGTTTTAAGGTAAAATTGTGAAGGGATAACTCTTGCTGTTATATGAACTGAGTCTTTTATACATGCAGAACAAACCTTATCAGCTATTGCAGCTTTTAGAAAGTGTTGCTGTTGTATTTCTTAATGGGTCTGGCTGAAATCCAGTGCTTGGGGCTTTGGGGGCTGCCAACACCTTGCCCACAGGCAGGTGCTGTGGTCAGCCACAGATCCCCTTCCTGGCTCCTATGGGATGCACTTATGGACGCTGAGTTGTGCCTAAAGCCAACGTGGCTGAGCAGAGTGTGCCAGCTCGCAAGGGGCTTTTGTAATCCAAGATCATCAGGGCAGTAAGAAGAAACCCTTAAGTACCTGCACTCCTTGCTCCTTTTCTAAGGTGAATACAGACTAATTTAAAGCAGATGAGGTGGCTCTGACATGCTGCAGTGAACCCAATCCATGGCTCCTGCTAAGGGAAAAACCTCCTGAAACAAGCAGAGGCTTTGTCTGAGCTTGAGAAGGGCATGAGCTTCTGCTCCCTGTGTTTTTCATCCTATAATTTATTCCACATCTCCCTTTCTGCCCTCAAGCCAAGCTTCCAGGTCCCAGATAAGCAGCCAGCGAGGTCTCCCTCTCCTAGGGGAATGACAGGCGGGGGACAAAGTCTCTCTCCTGGCTCTCCCTGCTACACAGAGGAAGGGTTGGCTCTGTCCCCATGTCCTGCCTGGCTGGCACACACAGGGGATGGGCTGAGGGGGGACGAGCAGAGAAATTACCTCTGCCCCCCTTGGCTGAAGCTCCTGGCTCAGCTTCAGAGGGCTTTTCTTACCACCTTATCACAGCAGCTGAAATTCCAGCTAAACAAAACCCAGCCACAGACTTATTCAAAACATTTATTAGTGTTTAAGGAAAATAATAGTGTGAAAGGTACAGAGCTTTGTCTAAAGCCATATGCATTTTCTTTATTTACAAGCTTATTTGGCTGCAAATTCTACATGAGATAAAACTAGTATGTTTTTCTCCCAGAGATTTGGAATTAAGGACAGTTTGTATTTTTTTTTATTTTATTTTTTTTCTCCTTTTAGTTCAGCACTGTAAGTTAGGACAGCATTTTCCAGGGTTTACTGCTATCTTTTTCCAGTAGGCGTTTTGCTTCTTGCAGTATTTTCATTCCAGAACAAGGCTCATTCCAGATGCAAAGCATAAAGGAAACATTCATACCTTGGCTTTTAAGCTAAACCTCCTCTATGAACAGCAAGTTCATAAGGAATGTTAATTAAAGCATCATACAGTATCTAAATGGACTTTTTTTTTCTTTTTTATAAAGAATTAAGGCTATGTAGATGTCACAATAAAATAAATCTCAGGTAAGACGCACCCTATCTGTTAGATATGAAAGAAGGTTTAACAATAAATAAATGCTTTATGCTGTCAATAACATTATGGAACTGTATAAAACTATATTTACGCAGCTTTAAACATAAAAAAACCCATACTAGTGGCATGAATATATACAACAACACAGGTCATGACATACGTTTAAATTATCATAGCCAGCAGTGTTCTTTTTTAAATGGGGACACTATAATAAATAGAAATGTTAAATATTTACAATAATAGCATATGTGGAATCAGTAGATGAACACATAAAATCTTCACACACAGAGGAAAAAAAAATGATGCCTTATACAAAAATCCCTCCCACCCACAGCTTGTCCTCCCCCCACCCCCCAATTTTCATTGACTAAACAAGGGGAATATACAGTTTTCCCCACAGAACCAATGAATACAAATAAAACTGTATGCATGCTGAGGTGATATGTTGACTGAGACATTCAAGGATGTAGATCTCTATGTTTGGTTCCCATTGATGAATCAGACCTCTAATGACAGAGGGATCTTATTTTAGTTCAATGCAAGAACATTGCACTGGTAGCAAGTTGTTTCTGGTTTGCATTGGTTTTCCTTTTCTTTTTTTCTTTTTTCTTTTTTGCTAAAATGCTTGGATTGTCTTTTTGGTTTGAGCTTGTTCTTTGTGGTGGCTCTGTGCCACCGGGGGGGAGGACGCTTGCAGGAAACCCATGGAGGCACGTGCTAGAAACCTTCTCATGGCACCACCAGCAGCCACCTTTTGGAGCAGAGGAGGTGGCCAACACTCAGACACAAACCAACCTTCCCAAGCTGCTCCGTGGGACAGCCTGGGTGCCCCAGGGATGGCAGAGCTGCCACCAGCCCAGTGGGGCAGCTGCCACACCCACTAGCACATCACCGTGGTCTTTGCTGCTATAGCATCTGGCCCGATCCCACCTCTTCCCACTTGAGTCAAACAAAAATGTTATCAGAGAACTTTGCTAAAATCAGGCAGGATCAGGGTCATGTCTTTAAGCAAAGACCTGGTGATCACAGAGACACACCTTTTCAACTTAACTGTCCTCTCTTGCTTCCTACGTGGTTGCTATTAAAAGCAGTGCCTCTACCTTCTGCGGGTGGATCCATGCATTAAACCCTGAATACAGCTATTAGGAGCCGTGTTCACTCAGCAGTAACTGAAATCTTGGTTGGAAATTGTAGCCAAATTCCAACACCCTCTACTGCTTATGCAGCTCCTTCCCACCATGCGACAAGACGTACGTTAGTTCACTGGGTACGTTCTGTCCCTGCTGAACTGCCTTCCTGCCCCCACAGCTTTCCTCCCAAACTTTCTAAATGAGAAGGCTCAAATCCCTGGTGTGATTCCCACTTTCTAAGAAAACTCACTTCTTCTCTCGAGGAAGCTGAGAGCTCACCCTTCTGTCCCCATGGATGCCGTAACCTCCATTTCCAGTACAATATCTGGGGATATAGGATTGCAGAGCTGCAACCTGAGAATTACAATTGCATAGGGGGTAGGAGAGATATGGCCAAACACCTCATTCACACTTGAAACTGCTTAAAGACAATAAGCTCTTGACACTCTTCATCTTTACTAACTCACTCTGTGGAGACCGGTGGTCATTATCTGCACAACAATTAATAAACCCAAGTCAATCCCCTCTCCTTATCTTTGGCATTTGGATAAACCATAGCTATAGGCAGGTTAGAGTGGGGCTCCACATCTCAGCAAACCATACCACGCTACTGCTAAGGAGAGACAGATTTCTGAGGGGCCTTCAACGCAGCCCTACAGAAGAACTAAACATATGGGGTCCTTCGCTGTCTGAGCCCACACCCATCCCTTTAGGCTTGGGCTGTCTATAAGGGTGGAAGACCTGTATCACTGAAGGGGCAGACGTAAGCAGAGAATATGCACAGGGTTCTTAGAGGTCCACAAGAATACTTTTGGGGGTCCTCCACACTGTGCAAGTCTTTAACAGTCACATTGCCTTGTCTGGAAGCTGACTACTCGCCTGTGATACACTGAAGGGACTGGGTATGATACTGTGATTAGCAAGTGTCAAGTTATGCAGTGGTTCAAAACAAACAGGGGGGCACTTAAACCAGGCAGCGTCACCCAGGTGGGAACAATGGCTCAGAAGTTAGTTAAGAGAAAGTGGTGGAGCTCCAGACCGCACGGTTCCTGTGCGAGAGACGGGGCAGCTACTTCATTAGAGAGCTTCACATAGAGAGCCTGGAGCTCTTGCGTTCTCAGCCACAAGCAGAAACCAAATCCCTTTGGAATTCAGCCATCTGCTGTAAGGCTGTGCCCTAGACCTTTGGAGGTGCTAAGCCACAAGCAGCCACATGCAGTCTGGCAGAGCCCTCTTGGAACAGTCTCCCCAGCCAAGGAGACCAAGGGAAAAAAACAAAACAAACCCCAAAACCAACCCAACAATCCCCAAACAAGATCCTAAATTTCAGATTATGTCTGTTTCATAAAAAAGGGGAAAAGAATTTAGTTGGAGACATTTTGCCACGTTTGGTGGCTGCTCGAGTGTCGAGTTTGCTGGATCGATAACCCATTGCCACTGCTCTCCCTTTGCTACTATATACACTGTTGCCGAGGTCCATATATATCTTGCAATGCCCTGTGCTTGACCTCTGAATGGGAAATGCTTTGGAATGTCCATAGACGGGAAGATGGAACTCAGGAGGATTCCGGTGGAGGGGGAGGATGGGGGGGAAGAGGGAGCTGGTGCCTTTTTTCACCTCCGGATGTCGGAGAAGTCGGACAGTTCGTCTGCCCGGTCCACGATCCCTTGTGCCCCTTTGGGACTGTGGCCCCCAGCTTTCACCCGGGTGTGGGCGTTCAAGTGGCCCTTGGTACCTCTCTCTCCCTTGGATGCTCTCGAGCTCTCCCTGTGGTCGGGGTCGGAGTGGGCCAGCATGTCCCCACGGCCAGCACCGCCTTTGGTGGCTTCACCTGGCTTCTTCTCGGCGCCCAGGGCGGCGTCACCGTGCCCAGCTGAGGTGCAGAAGCTCAGGATGGAGCAGAGACTTCCCCAGTTCTGTTCACACTGGGCCTGGACGCTTCTTGTTATTGCCTTTTTCACCTCCTCGCCACAGGTGAGCAGGATATTCACTAGGTCAACATATGGCCTAGAGGAAAAGCAAACAGGGAGAGGAGAGTTAAAAAACCAAGGGAATCCGTCTCACAGTCCCCTGGGCACAGCACAGGTCAGTGGTGTGAGCCCCTGCCACCCACCGACTCGGCAGCCTTGGAGAGCAATTCTGCAGCCTGTTTTTTATGCAATATACTATATTGTGATTGGCCATTTTGCTGTAGGACATCCTGTCAAAGCTTTACTGGATCTGCCTTGATTACTCTCCAGTGGAGAACTGGAATGTCCACCAGAGGAACAGACGACGTCTCCCTGCTTGGCAAATGGAAGAACTGCTATCTCACACTTTCTGCCTCTCTCTCTTTCCTCAACATTTCATCTTTAGTAGTCAGGACACACCACAAAGGAAACTTGCTCATGTCCAGAGCCATCAGCTTCATCAAGCAGTTGCTGCCTCCAGGTGAATGGCAGGTACAGAGCATTCACCAATTACCAGTCTGCAAGAGGAGGCACTGCCTCACCTCTGAGAAAGCAAAAAAGAGGTTCTTTGGCTTTTCTCCTCTCTGAAGCACTGGGTACTGATCTCCACCACAGGCGAGATCCTATCTGAACTTGGGATCTGACTGCACAGACTCAGACACACAGAAATCCACTTTGCTGGTACTTGTTCTTCCCACACCAAGGTTCTTTTTCTTCATTTCCTTACAGAGTTGAGTACAGCTTTCAGTATGTACCTTTCCCCAGCCAAACAAGCCATGGCTAAATACCCTTTGTGCTTCCTACCCTCATCCCTGTGAGTCCCCACACACAGCCACTTCGGTTTTCTCGGCCACGGGTCACCGAGTGCAGCGATTTTAAAATAGTTGTGGTCACAAGTTTTGTGGGTCAATATTGATGTTGTCTATTGACACAACCGCTCAGCTGCTTGCAGGCCCAGAAGGACGTGCTTAAAAATCTTCCACAGTAGGAACCATCCCCAGCACAAGTGGAAAACTGCCCAGGGTCAGCACTCGTGGCTGTGCGGGGTGGTGGGCGTGCAACTTCTGGGCACACCATCCACCGGCTCTGGTGGCTGTGGACAAGTCTAAATTTCTTCTCATTAACTAAGTCAGAAGAAACAAGGAAAACTAACAGATTACGATCAGTGCCTGACACTACCCAACTACTTAAACTCATTTTGAATCGCTAATCTTAGAGAGCCACCTATTCCCCTATCTCAAAATATTTCCCATGGTTGGATTGTTTCTGCTGTTTAAAAAAAAAAGTTACTTGGAATGCAGTAGCGACCAATCTGCCAAGGGCTGTCACCACTTCCACCATAGCAAATCAGCCTGACCCCCACCCCACCACAGCTGACTCAGGAGGAGGCTTCACTGCCCTGGTTGTGTTCCACAACACTCATCGGGAGAGAACAGTCAGAACAAAATAGTCAGAGAAAAAGTCCGAGAGCTGCCACTTGCTTCTCTGCTCCTAGTTTTTGTTTTAAATGTAAAATAGAAGAGAGAGCTGAGCATGTTGCATACAAAGCGATTCAGTAGAAGGAAATAAAAAAAAAAATTAGTTCTTCAAATTGGGCATAACCTTTACAAAAATCTTTGTAGGAAAAAAGGTCGCTGGTATGACTAAAAAGCGGCTCAGCTGCCAAATATTTCAGGTATTCAGAGCCTGCCAGAGCCCTGCGGATTAATACTGGCCCATTTCTCCTTCCCTGTTTTACTTTGTGCAGTTCAGCTGGCCTGACCAGAGTACCTGAACTGAGCACAAGGCTGCAAGTCAGCAGACGTGATTTTATTTCCAGCTCTGCCACACTTGCCTATTGATCTTGAACAAGTTCCTTAGTTCAAGAGCTTCAGAGATGGCCTCTAAATTTAGGGGAGGGGAGGAGGCTGGCTGGTTCTATTTGGGGAGTCCCGCATAGGAGAGCTGAGCTCCGACTCCGTGAGATGCTGAAGTGTAGGATGCGCTAAATGAGATCATGCAAATTATAGGTGTTCACTGAATGACCCGTCTCTTCTCAACCAACAACCCCCCAGTTAAGCTCCCCAGAAATAAGCAGCTGCCTTTGCACATTCCTGCTTTAGCCTGTTCATAAAATAAGGGTAACTTACTCCTCTTTGGAGAGGCTTTTGGCTCTCATAGCTCTTTTCATCCCCAAATGATGGGGGGGTTAATTGGTGCCAAGTACCCAATTTACAGCCTGCTAACACAGCCCAGGCAGTGCCCGGAGAGGTGCTGCTGTGCAGGATGGAGCCCTGCTTCCCCTCTCCACCAGCCAGTGGGATGCTGCCCATCGCCCTGGGCACAGCAGCCCTGGCAAGGCCAGACTCTGCCACCAGCCATGCCTTTGATCCCAGCCTCAGGAATGTCCGTGGAAAGGGCCTTGCTTTCAGGCCACCATGTTCAGCTTGTACAAACCACAGCACATGATTTATGTGAGTAAATTGGCATTGAAGCATCCCTCTGCAACTGCAGCTAAGTATTAGGGGGGTGGTTTTCAACAGAAAGTAAGGGAATCAGAGCATAGCTCCTTTGGATACTGATGAAAATGCAAGGCTAAAATTCCAAAAGAAATGATTCTGCAAAAAAGAATTGGCTGTCATGACTGCTGGGATTTGGAGTTTCTCTGTTAATATCAAGGCACAGAGGTGTGGTAGGAAGATGCTCTAAGCTTAAGCCTGATGCCAGGCTGTGCCTCAGCCTTCTTGTCTGGGAGTGAGATGTTCACCTGCAAGAAAAACAGGCTCTGATTTTTGCATTTGTGCACAAAGAGTCAGTACAAACAGCTTGTGCCTGGTTTGTTGCTGTCATGTAGGAGCTTTGATCAATTCCAAATAGGATTCGTGCCTGCCATTCCTCGGAGGACAGCTGTGTTCCCAGTCAGAGGAATGAAGTCCTCAAAATCTGACTTCTGCCTTCATTTTGTACATCTCCATGTTTTATTAAAAACCATCTGAGATTAATAAAGAATAAGATGAATGGGAGATTACCTGGGGGACCGCAGCTCTTTCAGGGACAATTAACTACAAGACATTTGAAAGTATGTATTTAAAGAAGAAATTATCATCTCGCTGACAACTTTGCATAAACCTTCTTCCCCCTTCTCTAGCTGTCATCTTTAACAGGATACTGGGGTCAAGAATGACGCCTTTGAGCTCAGAAAGCAAAGAGACATTGTGAGATGCTTCTGGAAATGACAGATACTGACAGTGCATTTGCCAAAGGACCAAGGGGACAGGCAGATCCAACTTCAACCCACTTCATCTCCTTCCACAGTCACATCACCTTTGTACACAGCCTATTCTTCAAGGGCCCCTGCAAAGAAAGCATTACCTCGGCCTTGTACATGGGAAAACAAGAGGTGCTTAAGGCCAGAAGGAGGTGAAACAGCCCATTGGCACCATCGCGCTCCTGGAAGGAGCTCCCACGCTCTGACTGCACCAGCACAGAGGCACTTACTCATGCTGCAGCAGGTCTTTGAAGTGAATCATCTCCACAATGACCTGGACGTTCTCCTTGGCAGCAGAGCAGAGGTCATGCTTCAGGTAGCACTCCCGCTGTAACTGGAACACCATCTCTTTAATGGCAGGGCACTTACGGCTGATGCAGCTGAATTTATGCCTCAAGGCATGAGCCTTACACTTCAGAGCGTCTTTAATGAAGGATTTTCCCTGAGAAGAAAAGAAATGGAGTAGGTCTGTATTTTTGTCCATTAAGTACAGCAGCTGATTTATGCCCAGCCAGCTGCTCCTCTGCAGGACAATGTCAAGGGTTATTACAGTGCTAAGGGTATCACTTAATGGCTTTTCACTCTCTTCTTCTTGTCTCTCTGCCCTTAAAGACCATGCCAAGTCACCTAGCTTTGCTATCCCAGTGGATCTGAGACATCCAGGGCTTCCTCACTGGTGCTTTGAGGTTTCCTCCTACTCAACAGCTGAATGCCCAATGAGGGAAAGAGCAAAAGTAAGCACCTTAAAGTAGTTCAGTGCTGGAGTTACTGGATTAATTTGCTTCCAGGATGGCAGAACAACAGGTTCAAACAAAAGAGAGGGCATCCTGCCATGGCTGAGGTCCTCAGGACCACAAACAGATACCCATTCAGTAACAGCAAATTAGGTTTTCTTTATTTTAAAATTAGTTCACAAACTCATAGACATGTACGCATGATTTATAAGCACCTGCCCCATTCTCCAGCTGTCAATACTTTCTCTACTACCACTCCCTCAGAGAGGGGCTCAACTCAGCACTACTAATAATCCTCCAGTGTCTTTATGTCTGCTGCAAGAAATTCTAAGTGAGATTAAATCAAGAAACTAAAAAAGTAAGGTGGAGAAAAGCTGCTTTAGCAGCTTCTCTTTAACCACTATTTGTGATTCCTGCATTCACTTGCTTAGTGGACACCAAACCCATCCCCTCCTTTCCTCTTTGCCATCTGACACTGCAGCTGCCATTCATGTGACTACTCTGCTCAGAATCCCTTTACTTTGCTGAGCAATAGGCTCTTGCACTGCCTCCACCTCTTCATCAGCTTCAGATTTTACACAGGTGCTTCGTGAAGACCAAATCCTTGTTCCCCTTTATCCCAAGAGTACACTGGCACAGCTCCACTGTCACTAAGTCAGGTTCACCCAGACCTGCAAGCAGATGTCGTCCCCAAATCATTTCAAGCCAGAAATATTTATTGCTGATCAAAGAGTTGCTTCAGTCATCGTCCCTTTCTATTCCCCATACCAAAGGCACTTACTTGCCCTTCCCTTCAGTAACAAACACGCAGAGCACAGTAGGCAAATAAGGATGAAAAAGAATTCTTACATAAACCAAACCTGACATCAATTCTCAGGTTTCAGAGCAGAGAACAGAAAATGGACAGCATTACTCTTGTCATTTAATGCAGCCTGAAATAACTGTAGATAATAGAGAGAGGAGCTGTGAAAAGTCATGTCATAGCAGAGGCTAAAGCCACCTCCATATTAAATAAAGCTCCAGGGGTTTAAATCTTCTGCACTGCAATAGAGACAGCCTGGATGTGAAACAGGCTGTATTTGATGAGCAATATCTGAGGATCAGGCATCAGTGGTTACACTCAGCTTTTCTAGGCCCCTTTCCCTCCCCTCCCAACAGGACTTACTTCTTTGCTCAACTCTGTTCACTGACAGAATATTGTGCAAAAAGAAATGAGTGTTTTCTGGAAGCCACTTGGAAATTAGGTTGAAGGTTTTCAGACACCCATAAAAGCAGCAATTCCCACTTTAATGACTAGCCAGACCCTTGGTACATCCTTGAGCATTTGAGCCTAAAACTCCAGCACTTCAAAAGTGCTTCCTACTGGGTGGTCCCACGATCCCTTATGGAATGGGCTGGATACTGAAGACAGCTCTACTTTGTACCATGCTTTTAACAGTGCCATGTAGCTGGTGCTTTTAGTCAAGTTATTCTGTAAACTGCCTGGTCAAGCCAAATGCCGCTGGCCTGTAGGAATGTTCCCTTCCCTCCACACTGAAATGGGAGAGTAGGTTTACAAGACATAATAACAGGATGTCTCAATGATGCATAAATGGTCTGGGGAGAAAATGAAGGAGACAAACTTAATACCACATACCATCTAAGTAACGTATTTCAACGTCAGTGCTCGAACCAAAGGCTTATTTGAGTACAGCAGCTTTCGGAGGTTGCCTGGACTGGTTGTATGCAAGTCTTGAAAACCAACTTTAATAACTGCATGTTGGGAAATATTGTGATAAGTCTAAATGAACTGGGAGCCCACGCTGCATTTCAGGATCAGCTCTGAACAAACATGGTGCAGAAGCTTGAGTCGCCCAGTGTTTCTTAAAACCATGTTTGGCTACATTAGTGTTCTGCTGCAGTTATCCTGGGTACAGTAGGTGGAAGGGATCCAGGGAGCTGTAGCTAGAGACAGCCTGTCTCCTGGGACAGGTTGCACACCACTACTTTGTTACTGTCCTGAGGTCTCAATTCTGGACCTTTCAACAGAAAAATTCTTACTGAGTTAATAAATCATGGCAGAAGCAGACTTGCTTTGTCATGGTAATTTTTTTTTGCAAAGATGTGTTAAGGAAATAAAATACAGGCCAAGTGTATGTTAGAAGCAAGCAGATACGTAGGACATTTCACCATGTTACCTGGGCATCGAATTTTCCAGCGTTGTGCAGGAATGTCATGCAGATCTCGTGTAAGCCTCGGATCTCGCAAGAATTGTTTTCAAAGCATTCAAACACTCCACATCCCACATCGCCAGCATTTACCAGGCAGTGCTGGATTTCAGCTAAAATGAGCATTGGTTAGAGTTAATTGGAAGAACTGTTCATAGAAACTGGTGGCGGGTAGGGGAGAGGGAGTTATTTTGCTACCAACATGAGTTTGAAAGAAAAATGCGTGACAATTAATTGTACCCGCACAGTGCCCACTTTTTGCAGAAATAAGGCCAAAACTTGGGTGTATTACGTTATGAAAGTGATATCCGAGAAACAAATGCCAAATCCACTATGCTAACGTCAACCTATTTCACTCGAGAACTGTCTAATGCTCTTGCATTCCTCAGGAGCAAAGGACGGGCATGATTTTTGCTGTCTGATTGTACATAGTCCCCCATCAACTTTAAGTGCCACAATGAGAAGCCCAGAACCCAGCCAGCCAAAATTTTTAATTTTTGGTATTTTGAGCTAGTTTCTGGCCATTTGGCACAATGTTTTTTTACAGACCACTGGGTTTTACCTGTCAGGGTGTCTATCAAGTTAATGGCAAAACTCCCACTGATGCATAAAGTCCTTTGCACTGAGTGTTGTCTGAAACTGCAACTATGTGCTCACTTATGCAGAAATCAATAGAAAATATATACATTTATATATGTAGTACATAAAATAGATGAACTGGAGCTAGTAGTTACATATGTATTTATTCTGCCCTTTCAGATGTTATGTAATGCTGTAAAAAATGCTGTCTAATACTCACTTTCAAAAAAAACCAACCACCAACCCAAAAATCTAATTCTTAACACGACAGCTTCTGGTCCTTTAAAAAAAAAATGGATGTAGTAGTACTGCCAGAGGGAAGGTGGTTGCTGAAAAAGCCTGGGGATAAAGTTAAACAGGGGCAGCTTTTAGACCTGAACTGAGGATGCTAAGAATTCCTGTACTCTGTGCCCTGTGGTACCTTTAATTAAAGTTCGCCCTTGGGAGCCAGCCTAATCCCCCTCGAACCGCAGCGTGTTTCAGCCATCTCCAGCCTCCCCCTCTGCCATGCGGTCCATTTGCAAGTCTTTACAGCAACTTTCGGTCTAATTTCAACCCGCTGCAAGGCAGAGAGAGGAGCCGCGGATGTAAATGCGGAGCCTGCGGGAGTTCACACGACTCCCCCCATCTCAAAATGCACTGGCGCTGCATTTTTTTCTTCTTTTCCTTTTTTTCCCTTCTACCTGCCCCGAAGTGCATCAGGGGGTGGCACAGGGGAGCCCCGGGGGTGGGCTGCGGGGATTGTCTGAGCCACGGGCGAAAAGCTGCGCAAACCCACCCGTCCCGGGGAAGGGGGAAAGGGGCACTGGAGCCCTTTGTGGAGCGCGGAGCCGGGCGCTGCCGGGTCCGGGAGCGCGGCTGTGGTGCTTGTGTTGGCATCCGGATGCAAACCCTTTGCCGGATCACATGTCCTGGCTCCAGCGTGCTGAGAACTGCACAGTGCCGTGATTCACATGTGGCAGTCCCTAATGGGCATTCGTGCATTCCTGCTCGTGTGTGTTTAAACACGTCTCGCAGCACTGAGAGTGTTAAAAAAAAAAAAAAAAAAAGGGCAGGGGGGAGGGGGGGGGGGGGGGAAGGGAAGCGTCTGGATCCCGCGCTCTGTCTTTGCACGGCTGGGAAGCGATCCAGCGAAGTGCACGCCTCAGCTCTCTTTTTCTAGGCAGATAATACCCGGGGGAGGGAGCGCGGAGGGCGGGAGAGGAGGAGAGAAACCCCCGGCCCGTTGCATCATTGCACGGCTCCCTACGGAGGGGGCAAACCTCCGGTCATTCCAGCCGCTTCCCGGCCCTCCCGGCTCCCCCCCAGCCCTCGACCCGGTTTCGAGAAACTTTCTCCTCCCCGGCCCAGCATCTCCGCGGGGCTCGGGCCGCCCCGGGGCCGCTGCGAGCCCGGTGGAGCCGCTCCGTGCCCGGCGCGGGGCCGCGGCTGTGCGCGGGCAACACGTGCTTGGCAGAGCCGGGCTTTAGAGGTAATTAGGAGCGAGCTCTGATTTCCTCCGCTGATTTATGCCTGACAGTCGCGCACCGAAATAAAACGCCTGTCACAACTCGACGCGGCTGCAGCAGGGTGGGGAGGGGGACGCGCACAGACCACCCCGGTCCCCCCCCTCCCGCCCGTACCTGTGTTCTGCAGGGACAGGCGCCCCTTCTGCTGCGGGGTCCTGTCCTGCGGCCCCTCCGGCGGGTGCGTGGCCTCAGTGCCCGCGGCCGCCCGGGCGCTGGCCAGCAGCAGGGCCGTGGCCAGCAGCAGCGCCGGGGCCACCAGCTTTCCGCCGAGCTCCGCGCACATGGTCGTGCCTTCCCCCCGCCGCCGCCGCCGCGTCCTCCCCCGCCGGGTGCCGCACCCGGGCCCAGCGCGCTGCTCGCCGCGGCCCCGAGAACCGCATGTGCCCGGCGCGGCGGCGAGCGCGGAGTGGCAGCGGCGGCGCCGGAGGGAGCCTCAAATATCCCCGCCGAGCCCCGGTGTCACTCGCATGAGGGAGCCGAGCAGGTGTCGCTTCGCGCCGCGGCCAATGGCAGCCGCCGCCCCGCTCCGACCGCCCGCCGGGGGCCGGCCCTGCCCCGCCGGCAGGTTGCAGCCGCCCGCCCCCCGCCCCACCCGCACCGCGCCGCGGGGGTGGGAGCGCGGGGGGCACCGGCACCGACCGCGCCCGGCGGGGCGGGGGGAGGAACTGCACAAAAAAAAAAAAAAAAAAAAAGAAAGAAAGGGAAAAAAGGTGAAAAAGCGGGATTTTGACAAGCGCGCTGGTTTGGAAGGGAGGAGGGAGGCGGCGGCCGGCAGTGAGTGGCCAGTCCCCCCGCAGGCAACTTCGGGGCTCTCCCAACACAAGGGCAGTGGCGGGGGTGCCCGTGCCCGGAGCCGGCTGCCAGCGCCGGCCGTCCTGCGGCACTGCTGCCTCATGGCAAGACTTCATTTAAAAGAAAAAAAAAAAGAGAAAGAAAAAAAAAAGGAAAAATCCCTCTCCGAAGCAGCTATTGCAATGACTTTCTTGGAAATCCTCCACTCTCATTTTATTTCTTTTCTTTTTCCTCCCTGGTATTTTGTACTCTGCTTGCTCCTTGGGGGATTTGGGCCAAATCCATCACTTGAGGGGGGGGAAGTGGTACCTGGGTGCGGACCCGGATGGGTGAGCAGGGGACAGGCGCTGCTTTCCCGGGAGGGTGAACTCCCCTTCCCTCCCCCGGTGGAGAGCATCACCCTTTCAAGCCCCCCAAGAGCAACCCCCATCCAGCTCTGGCTGCTGCCTTTTGTCCCGTAGCTGGAGCGGGGAGGAGGGGGGACAACACACGGCAACGTAGGAAAATCCGTAGCAGGTGACGAGAAGTGCCGCGCTGGCTGGGGAGGGGGCGTGCGTGTCTCCCCTTGCCCTGCCGTAATGCACATCAGATGTTTCATCAGACCCCGCAGGCCCCATGCGGTCCTGTGTCCCCCCCGCCCCCAGCAGCCCCCGAGCCCCCGGCAGTGCCGGGGCGCGCTGTGCCGTGCCGGGGGCGGGGGGCGCAGCCAGGAATGTCTCCAGCTGCTGCTGCCGCCCGCTCCCTCACAGCTGTCAAAATGCACTTGAGGAAATCCACTCACACCTCCCCGAGCAAGGGTCTCCTCGGCGGGACGTGACACCGCGCCGCAGGACCATGGCTCCACGGCTACGCACCAGCAGGCACGTCCTGACACCCCCTCGCAGCCCCCCGACAGCCCCCGCTCGCCTGGGCCTTCCCTGGTGTTGTCTCAGCCCGGGGGGGGGTGGTTGTGCTCTGTGCCTGAGTCGTGCGAAGTTTTATTTTTATTTTTATCGTTCTGTAGGGTTTGACATCGAAACATCTTTTTTAAGATTGAAATTCTTAGCGGCGGTGCCAAGCTCGTGTGGAAATTCCCTTTTATCAACATGCTGCTGCCTTTGGAACTGCAACTTGCAGCTTTTCCTCTAAGGAACTGGCTGTGCCAGTGAGGATGTCTGCAAAGCCCCTGTGCCCCTGGGATGGGCTCTGCCCTTTCTGACAACAGGGCTATTAAAGGAATAGGTTTTTCTTCTTCATTTATACCTCACCCAGAGTGCCTGCTGGCCCTTCTTTTGTCCTTGTTCTCTTACTATTTATACTGCTGAAGAGTTTTGCTCTTTAATTGCCTTTGCTAGGTCTAACTTAGCTCAACTTTAACAATTCTCATCTCCAGTGTTCAAAGACGAGGGACTGAATGAACTCAGGAGCAGAACAGAGGAAGTATGGGCAGGAGAATTTAAGAGATGGCAGTTTTTCTCTGTTGGAGGAAGTAACAGCCAATGTACTGTTCCTAACCAGCAAGTTTGTATTGTACATATAATATATTCGTTCCCTGGTGCCTCACAAATGATGCTTTCTCCTGATGCCTTTTCCCTGTTGCTTTACATCTGATGCCCTCCTGCAGCCATTCCTCATCAATCTTTCTGCCTCTTTTTAAAGTTACAGTTTTTGGATTGGTTTTGCCCTTTTGACTTAAAGGGATTCTGTGCATCCTCCATGTGCCAGACCCGGGGTCCCTCCCTCTGATTGGCTTCTCTGGTCGGGACTCATAATTTCCCAGAGTGTGTCCTTTGAACCACGCAGCCCTGGCTGCCCTAGTGTGGCTTGTCCTCCTCTTCAGCCTATATTGTATTAATTTCTCCAACCAAGGTTATTTTAACATCTTTTCCTCACTAAAACCGTGCCTAAAATAGCCCCTGCTCGTGTCACTTTGGGGAAGAAATCTGCTGGCTGTCAGCACGTTGAGCATTTCCCATCTCCTCCTGCTCAGCACACATAGCTGGGTGGAGGGTGGCACTCAGAGCTGTAGGATTTTTCCCTGCTTTTCCCTCTCGAGGTCACTTGTCAGGGTGCTCCTGGGATTAGAGGATCTGGTCCCACTCATCCTTTCCTTAGCGAGGCAGGAAGCTGTGCCTGCATTTTAAAGGTGAGTGCTGTCAGGGAAAACGCGCGTGATCCACAAGTCATGCTCTAGCAAATCTGGCGTCTCTTGGAGCGTGGTGTAACTCGCTCCCTGGCAGTGTGATCACTGCCAAGGTAATTTTATAGATGTTACCAATTCCGGTGATTTAGGGGCTGGTTTCCAAGGGACTTGGGATGCCTGAATCCCAAGGCACCGAGGCACTGATCCTGCAGCTTTGCTCCAATGCAGGGAGCTTGCGTGGACTCGGGTGCCTGATTGCAGGACGGTGTCCGGTTTCGAGGCGTTTAATGATGTGTTGAGCAGTAACACTTCAGAGAGGATCACAACTCCTTCCAGCAGTTTTAAACCCCTGTTGGCTTTCAGGATTACACTCTGAGTTCCCTTCAGCTAACATACATACGTTTTACTTTTTGAAAGTGTTTCATAGTTTGATTAAGACTTCATATGATCAGGCAGTGGCGTGAGCATTTTGCAGCTCCCTTTAAATGGGAAGCATTTAATTGTTTGGCGTCTTTAGGGAGATGAGCTGCTTTCATGACTATTAACAGGGCTGTGTCCCTGCAAGGCCGTTGCAGGCAGGTGAAGGCTGAGGAATGCTGTGCAAGAGGCTCCAGCGCACAGGAGAGAGCGAGCACACCCAGTTACAAAGGACAGAGAGGCCGATGACTTCAAAAGGGAAGAGGATGCTGTGGGGAAGGTGTGCCAAGGTCTGGATTCAGGGTTTTCTATCTGTGACTAAACACATTTCACAGTAGAGCTAGAGTAAGCTGTGCTGTGCAGCCCCAGCAGTGCAATGGGATTTCATCAGACTTGAAAAAATAGCAAGACAGGGCAATTTATTTTTGCCTCTTCTCCTGGGTAATTTCCCCACCTCGGGGCTTAGTGCAAGGTGCTGACTTGCAAATGACACATCATTACGAAGCGAGCCCAGAGCTGCAAAGCCTTGCTGGGAAAGTGGTCAGGAGAGCGAAGGAAGCTGCTTCTTGGACTTGGTTCCTTCTGGTGTGGGACCTGCTCTGGGAACATGTTGATTTAATTCCCACAAGTTAGTTCTCGAATGGTGCAAATAAAGCTGCTGACAGTGACTGAAATGGGATTTGACACTGGAGAACCTGTTAGGCTCAGTAAATGTAGGTCTGTTGGGAAGCTTCAAAAGGTTGTATTTTAAGCCACTTTTCCCCTCTCATCATCGATTTAGTATTTTTGAATCTCTGGTAACTAGTTTTTATGATGAACAAGCAGAAGTTGACAATAAAGTCACAGAGAATGAAATGCAAGAAAAGTCAGAGCTAATTAGATTGAAAATTATACAGCCATTCTTTTCCTGATTGGTTGTATAAAACTCAGGTATTTGAGAAATGGTCTCAATGAGTTATGCACCAGGTTTAATGGTGGTCTGACTTCTTTGATAAAATATGAACTATTTGAAAGATTTATATGAGTCAGAAATGCTGCTGAATATTTTAGTGTTTAGAGCAGCAGGAAACCACTCTGAGATATTTTTAAAACAGGTATTTACTCAAGTAATTGGTTACTTTTAATGTGGAATAAGAAAACCTGGTGCAGCTATATTGGACTTGACATAAAAGACAGGTTTGTAATTTGTGAGCAAAACAGGGTGGAATGTACACATTGTACCTGGGGAGGTATTTCAAGAAAGACAACTCCTTGAGACAAAAAGCCAAAACAACCGACATGCTAGGTTGCATGCCAGAATTGCTTATTCCTCAGTTAATCAGCTGTGTAATGAGTGTCCAGAAACAATCCCTTCTGCCCAGGTAGTTTAAGTTTCAACCTTCGTAAGCTTTGTGGCCGTCATAAAATGGATTACATGGAAGTTGGACGAAAAACACATGTTTCTGAGAACATTTTGGTTCAAATAAAAAAAAAATGTGGCAATGTCAGTGCCAACAATTTACTACAGAATATCTGAACCAGATGCTGTTAAACTATAATTCCAAACAATTTGCCAGAATTATGTATTTACTTTATTCTTTAAGTCAAACTAAAGTTATGCGTGTTTTTTATTACTTGTGGATATAAACAAAAATGTGATACAATTGCAAATAATATAAGGCAGATAATGCCCAACAGTCAGGATTTCTGTGACTACTGCACTAGCTAAAGAAAAATGGAAGTTCTGTTGCTAATTATGTGTGACAGGGTCATCAAAATGGGGTTGTTCAGATTGAGACATATCAGACTGCAGTCTGCTTAGTCACTAGATAAGAGCTTTAGCCAAAAGCATCTATTTTTCCCTTTTTCTCACAGTAGTACATTTTTTTCCCCCTGAGAGAATGGGGAAGAGATCTGCAATACATGGAGAGTTACAATCTTAGCTAAAATTATATAGGAAGGGACTCTTAGGAGATACTTGTAGGCAATCTCCGACTTGCTGGTTCTTATCCAGATGAGCTGCTCTCTGATGGTTGAAATGACAGACATTGACGTCAAAATTAACATCTTGAAAGGATAGAATGAGTTTTAGCA